TTCCAGCTTAGGTCTGATACTTAAACCATGCATTCAGCCATGTGAGATCTAGCTCCCTTAACCACCAGACCATGGGGCTGGCCTGTACTTTATCATTTAATACTTACTTTGGAGAACAAGTTGAGGGTGCTAGAGTTGCTCTGTTGAATTTTTGTTTCTTCCTAACATTTGGCAGCTACTGCCAGATAATAAACTTCAGATGACTTTAAGCTTAAGGCAAAATGAAAATGCAACAGTTTTCAGGGAATTTTGTTACAAGTATTTTGATGTACTGTTTAAACATGACACAGTTTAAAATTTTCTCAGTTTATTAGCATAATCCAAACTTCTCTTGTTTAGAATATACAATTTGAAGACATGTATAGAGCCATAAAAAGATCCACCATAATCAAGATAATGAACATAACTATTAGCCCCAAACATTTCCTTGTGGATTTTTTTTTGTAACCCATTTATCTAATTCTCCCTAACTGGTCCCCAAGCTTTTTTTTTTTTAAATGTATTAAGTGAGAGGTGTGTGTGTGTGTGTGTGTGTGTGTGTGTGTGTGTGTGTGTGTGTGTTGCTAGAAGGCATGTGTGCTTGCCAGAGAGAAACAGAGTGGGAGAAGAGAAAGCAACCCTCATGGGGAATGACCACGCTGCAGTCCCTTCTCCATCTCTCTTTCCTTTAGGGATTTTGGGTAGGCAGTCATGCAAATGCCCCTGGCATGTTCCTCAAACCGTCAGGTCTGAGGCTTGAACTGAAGAGTCAGTCATGTGGGATCTGGCTGCCCTAACCACCAAGCCATGGAGCCAGTCCTGCATTAAATAAGATTTAATGAGAATTAATATATTATAGTTGCAGGAGAAACTGGTGGCTAGCTGGGTGACCTTGTGTGAGTGCTCTTCTCTAATCCTTTGTTTTCTCATCTGTAAAATGGAGATAATTGATAGTATCTTCTCTTTCTGTTAAAAAAATTTTTAATTGTCAAAAGCTGTGTGTACCTGTCAGAGAGAAAAAGAGAGAGAACCCCTAATGGGGCATGGTTATACTCAGTTCCTTCTTCTCGATTTCTCCATCTTATCAAGATTTAGAGCATGCACATGTACTCACACAGCCTGTTTTTCAAGCTTCTGGGGCCAGGATTCAAACTAGGTTGGGCACATGGGATCCAGCTCCCTTTGCTAGGCTATATGGCTGGCCTAATTACTGTTAAATTTAATAATAATTTTTAATGTTTGTTTTTTAAGACATTTATTTACTGGGAGAGAAGGAGAGTACCACGCACCACAATCTCCCCCCCCGCCCCACAGCTTCTCAGCCAGCCAGGATCATGGGTGCACACATATGCAATGCACCTGGCATGTTCAGGTCAATCTGGGATTCAAACCCGAGCCTCCTGTGTGGCTTCTGTATCACATAGCAGTGCCCTACCAGCTGTGTCACCGTGGCTGGGCTGAAATTTAAAAGTTCTTATGAAGCAGCTAGTATAGTATCTACCATGTAGTAATTACTCCGTAAATGGTAGCTATTGCTATTTATTTATTTATTTTAATACGACCAGAGAGGGACAGAGCAAGAGCGAGAGAAAAAAGAGAGAAAGCAAGCCGCTAGGTTTGGGACTTGAACCACGGTTGGCCATATGGGAGTCCAGAGCCCTTAACCACCACGCCACCTGCTGGCCCCAGTGGTAGCTATTGTTAATGTTATTTTATTTTGAGTTATATTATGCCAAAGTACTTGATATATTAGATGATTCATCATTGTCATTATTATACATATGGTAGGTACTTAGTTTATATTAATTTTCTCTCCTTTTTGTCTTAATTTTTGATAGGCATATGATAAGGCATATTGCTCATTAGCTCTAATTACCAAATTTGAAAAACAGTTGGAAAAATGGACATACATTTATTCATTCATTCCATACATTTTATTGAACATGTATTGTTTGGGTAACTGAGCCAAACACTGTGCATGATTTTACACTGCATAGACATGTGATATATCCAATATACATGTATCCAGAATATCCAGAGATGTGTGGACAAAGCAGCATTGAAATTGAGAGGCGGGGGACTGGCAGGTGGTGTGGTGGTTAAGCGCACAGGGCAGACTGCGGTTCAAGTCCTAGACCTGGGGGCTTGCTTGCTCACTTTCTCGCTCACTCACTCACTCACTTTGTCCTTTGCTGGTCAAATTTAAATAAATAAATAAATAAATAAACAATCAAATAAATAAAGTTAAATTAAAAAAAAAGTAAAAAAATTGAGAGATGGGAGGCCAGCAGGTGGTGTGGTGGTGAAGGCACTGGATGTTCTTACATGGCCAACCACAGTTCAAGTCCCAGACATGGTGGCTTGCTTTCCCCCTTTCCCTCTCCTTGTGTCCTCATCTGGCCAAATTAAAATAAATGAATGAATGAATAAAATTAAATATATGGTTCTTTTTTAAAAAAGTACTTTTTTAAAAAAGAAAAAGATATTGAGAGGCGGGAGTGAGTGCTTCCAGCTGTGGAGACACAGGGATGGTTCTAGGAAGGGTATACAGTTCCATTAAGGTATCAAAGGGATAAGAGGAGGGAGGCAGTGTCACCCGAGAAATGGGATCAGTGCCATGCAGGGTTCTCAGGCTCAGGTCAGGAGCGGGAGGTCATCCCTGTGTAGGTTGGACTCAGAATATGTATAGCCAAGTAGGGTTAAACACAGCTGGAGAGGGATGTCGGGCAGGCCATGGCCATGTTACTACTGGGCTAAGGAAGTGAGGTAGATTTTGTCAGGCAGTGAAGAGCCAGAGAAGATTTTTCCGCAGGAGAAAGTATCATACTATCTAAATAAATTGCTTTTGAGGTGGCTCTTATGTATGGATTTAGTTGATGGGAAGACAGCAGAGCAATCAGGAGGGCTTCAAAGTGTCAGAATGTCCCTAAGGATCTTAAGTAGGTTAGTAGCCTTGCAAAGTAGGTTAGTAGCCATGCAAAAATGCCATCAGTAGGATTGGTGCCGAGTTGTCAGGGCTGGAGCTTGCTTGCTTCCTCTTTTGGGACACTTGGTGTGTGCCAGCCCCTCCTGATTGCAGCAGTGAAGTGTGGATACAGCTATTTTCCAGAGGAAGAAACAGGCTTAGAGAGGCTAAGAGACATCTTTGTCATCCTCCACCTGTGCTGACCCTTCTTATGCTGGTCTTGATGTGCCATTCTGACTCCCCTAGTGACTTCGATTTTCCTTCCCCAGCATCCTTCTCGTTTGTTTTCTCTCTGTCCACTGCCATCTCCTTTGAACAGGTTCTCATCTCTTCCCAACCTGGACCTGTCGCTCCACATCATCATTTGGACGTTAGAATGGTCTCATCTAAACGTAAGCCAGGTTGTGTCTGTGTGTGTGCCTTTGGTGCATACACGTACTTCCTCACTGTCTCTGGGTAGACAGTGGCACTCAGGATTCTTACTGTATTCTGATCCTTCATAAATTTAGTTGCCCCCCCCCCCCCGCCCGCACACACCAAAATTTTTCGTCCCCCCCCCCCCCCGCCTGCAAACACTGCATTGCTGTTTGGCTCTGTTCCTTTACGTGACTAGTTTCTCCACCTGTAATCCCTTTTCCCCTGTATTGTGACTCACCCGTTTTTCATCAGGATCTCAAACAGGTGATTTTATCTAGGATGCCTTTGGCAACTGAACTCTATTCCTTCTTATTAAGTGATAGTGTATCTGGCATTTTAATGAATTACTTTTCTAATTCCATACCCTTTTCAAAACTGATTTGCAACAAATTACAAAAATTCATGTGGCTGTAACAACCAAATAGATGCACATATAAGAGCAAATGGACTATGAGGGCAGAAAAAAATAAATCCAAGAATATAGCACAGAAATACTTTCCATCATACCCAGCTCATTGCGAAAGGTGGCTTCACCTTTTACTGTGATCATTCTAGTCACAGCAATGAGGGGGAGTATTGAACTGTTGAGGGTTTCCCCAGTGACAGTCAAATGATAAAGCCAGTTGCTCTGGAGAACTTTTTCTGAAGAAAAAAACATTGAGAATTAGGAGAAATGTTTCGGGGTAAGTGGGAAGGTAGAGATGGTACCAAGTCTTCACCTTGAACACATGCGCGGCAGGTTTCATAGACAACATTTTCTAATACACGTTGGTGCCACTGTATTGCAGGACACTAGAGCACAATTCAGCAAAAGCAGTTTTTAAGAGCCAGGACTATGACTGTAAAGTAAGCTTTTTGTTGGTATAGTATAATCCAAATGCGAAATGTAGAATGACCAAAGGAAATATACTTATCATACTTTGCTGTAGTTATTATTTTACATCTATTGAGTTGTTGGAAAAGTCCATGATGCATTTTTGCATGGAGAAACAGAAAAATACGTCGTGACTTCTTCTAATGACCCAATATTTACCCCTTCACTTCTGCCCCAAATGATCACCTCTCTAAAGCAGAGATCATATTTCACCTTGGTTTGATGAATGGTAGAAAATTTTAAAGTGAGGAATGAGGAGAACTATTTATGACTGTAATTTGCCTGGGATCATCGCAGTGTTCCACTTTGAATTATATGTACTCAGAAAGTTAGATTCATCTCTGAGATCCAAGAGCTGTAAATAAATGGTCATATGCTTTCTTTACTATTTTCAGGCACTGCCATGCTTCTGAGGCAGTTTTCAGCAACAAATATACCAGCCGAGTGAATGGCAATAGCAAAATGATTGCATCTAGACCAGTCTATGGAAAAGAAACTTTAATAAAATTATGAATAAATTTAGCAACTCAAAGTTTCACATTTAATTTCCCTTTACTTATTGCATTTGAAACTAAGATTATTATACCATGATTAAGTCAGATTCAGAAAGAAGTATACATGTGTCAAAAAATAGCAAGTTTATTGAATGACTTCAGTTTTCCCAAAATAGCCCTTCTTCCTATAATTTAGGTCAAAACATGTTCTGTGATGATATAATACCTTTCCTTTCCAACTGCTGCTTTGTTTTTCTTTATACACCTGTAGGAACTTGACAAAGAACTCCCAGTGCTTAAGCCATATTTTATCGATGACCCTGAAGAAGCTGGAGTGAAGGAAGCTGGCTTAAGAGTCACATGGCTGGGACATGCAACGGTAATGGTGGAAATGGATGAGCTCATATTTCTCACAGATCCCATCTTCAGCTCTCGTGCTTCACCATCACAGTATATGGGTCCAAAACGATTTCGTCGTCCGCCGTGCACAATAAGTGAACTTCCCCCAATAGATGCAGTCCTTATTAGTCACAATCACTATGACCACCTAGACTACAATTCTGTCATTGCTTTGAATGAGCGATTTGGTAATGAGTTGAGGTGGTTTGTGCCTTTGGGTCTTCTCGACTGGATGCAAAAGTGTGGCTGTGAGAATGTGATTGAACTGGACTGGTGGGAAGAGAATTGTGTCCCTGGACATGATAAGGTCACCTTTGTCTTTACACCCTCCCAACACTGGTGTAAAAGGACTCTGAGGGATGACAACAAGGTTCTGTGGGGCAGCTGGTCTGTCTTGGGGCCTTGGAATCGATTTTTTTTTGCTGGAGATACTGGTTATTGCCCTGCTTTTGAAGAGATAGGAAAAAGATTCGGACCTTTTGACCTTGCAGCGATTCCCATTGGAGCCTATGAACCACGGTATGTAGACTTCCAAAGAAAATGTTTCTGTTGCATAATAAGTTAACTGAACTTAAAACAGTTATGATTTTGTGATATTGTATAATTTGTGATTTTAATGATGAACCTTTTAATTTGTTGTACATTGGTTGGGGGGATTAGTGGGCTAGATTCAATTAGACTTTTTGTTTTAGTTGCCAAAGGACACATTTGTTCTCTAGAGAGGTGGAGGAAGGAAACACTTCCTAATAGGACATAAACATGCCACAATCCCTTCTCCATTTATCCATCTTGTCAGGATTTTGGACACACAAATATAATATGCGCCTTGTATGTTTTTCAAGCCACTGGTATTGAGATTTGAACTGCACTTTGCCATGTGGGATCCAGCTTCCTATGCACAGAGGATACTTTCTTTATAGAACCACTTTCTGCTCCATGACCAGAATGTACCAGTCCCATTATATGGCTCCTCTATAACATACAGAGGAAAAGCAAGGAATGAGCCTACAGCATTATCCCTTGTGATGTTCTTGTTTCAGTTAACACTGAAGTTAATCTGGTCATGACATTGTTGTATTACTCACTGCTCCCCCTCCAACCATTCCCTATTCATCAACTCTTCTCAGAGAAGCTAAAGGTCACACTGTAATTAGAGCCCCATCCACTGTCTGTTTTCCTTAAGACTGTCATTTAGGGAAAAGTGATTTCAAAGAATTCGGTTAGATTCAGACAACTGTGGTTTATGTACACAAGTAAAGAGGAAACCAACACTGATAGTGACAAAGTATAAGGGATCATTTTAAAAGTGATGAGGCTGGAATTAGAATTTATTGTATATTTCAAAGGCCAGCATTAATAAACGCTCTTTTTCATCAGGTGGTTTATGAAATACCAACACGTAGACCCAGAAGAAGCTGTAAGGATTCACATTGATGTTCAAACAAAGAAATCTGTAGCAATTCACTGGGGAACTTTTGCCTTAGCAAATGAGGTGAGTTTGATTGTGATAAAAATAACTGATTATAGAGCCAGCAGGTGGTGTGGTGGTTAAGGGTGCTGGACTCCCACATGGCCGACAACAATTTGAGTCCCAGACCCAGTGGCTTGCTTTCTCACTCTCTCTCTCTCTCACTTGTGTTGTCCCTCTCTGGTCAAATTAGAGAGAGAGAGAGAGAGAAACTGCTAAACAATATTTAGAAAAAAAAACTGATTATACATTTGATAGTGATAGGATTTAATCATCACTGTCTCTCCATGTTTTCACAGACCAGCCTGTGGATTCAGACCCTGCATAGTCATCACCTTATAAATTAGGGTGGCAAATCAGACCAGTCAGAAAAACAGTTATCTTTATATACCACTTGATCTCTTATAGTTTTCTCTATACTGTAGAGGACGGCAACATTTAAACTTCAATTAGATCATGGCGCTCTTTGATGCCAAGTGACCTGGTAGCTTCCCATTGCACTAGGAGTCAAAACCTCCAAGCCCTGTTTGGCCTTTTGGCTGGAGAATTCATGTGCGTATTGAGCAAGTTAGGTTTTTTTTTTTTTCTTTTTGTTGAGAGGTTTTTGTTATAGGGCACGTGCGTTTGCCAGACAGACAGAGACAGAGAGACAGAAAGTGAGAAATCACCCTGCAGGGGGGATGGTCATGCCACAATCCCTTCTCCTCCATTCTCCTCTTGGGATCTTGGGCACGCACACACACGCGCCTGGCGAGAGTTTTAAGCCACCGGGTCCAGGACGCAAACCGCGGTCGACTACGTGGGAGTCCAACCACATAGCCATTATGCTAACTGCTGGTCCCAAGCATAGTAAGCATTCTAAGAGCAGAGATAGCTTCCTAAAACATATGAGGTAAAATGATTAGAAAAAGAAGGAAGCCAAAGAGAAAGCTACCTGGCTTCAACTGGAGCGCCAGCCTGATCCATCCAGAGAAGAACACTTTGTGAGAACCAATGGAAAGGAGCCTGAGCTTCTGGAACCTATTCCCTGTGAATTCATGGCATGATGGGTATTAGAAATAAACTAATCTATGATCTATAAAAATGCTTTCCTTGGGACCAAAGTTAGCATAATGGCTATGTTGCTAGACTCCCACGTAGTCAACCGTGGTTCATGTCCCGGACACAGTGGCTTAAAACTCATGCTGGGCGCGTGTGCATGCGTGTCCAAGATCCCAAGAGGAGAATGGAGGAGAAGGGATTGCGGCCCAGACCTGGTGGCTTAAAACTCACGCCGGGCGTGTGTGCGTGCATGCCCAAGATCCCAAGAGGAGAATGGAGGAGAAGGGATTGCGGCGTGGCCATTCCCCCAGGGGGTGATTTCTGGCTTTCTGTCTCTGTCTCTTGTCTGTCTGGCAAGCACACGCAGCCTATAGCAAAAACCTCTCAAAAAAAAATGCTTTCCTTAATTGGGCTCTAATTCATTTTGTGCTATCTTTATTCAAATTTAGTATTTTTTTTTTTTTAACCTAAAGGATGTTAGGTGGTTTATTATGCAACAAATAAAACCCAGTTGGTTAGGGGGGGAAAAAACCCTGTTTGGTCAATTTCTTCAGATCTTTTTCAAATGTTACCTAAATCTCCATCCCTTGCACTTAACAACTCCTCCCCCCAACATTGTTCTACTATAAATGTGTCAACCACTCACATACTATTTTATTATTATCATTTTTTCCTATTCTGTGTTGAATGTAACCTTCAGGAAAATAAGGATTTTTGTCTTGTTCACTTGCCTAGCATGTTGTCTCGGTGCTCAAAAAATACTCATGTGCAAAGGAGAGGCAGACTTCCCACTGATGATTAGATCAAAGAGTGTTACGTTTTTATTCCTGGTATAGGCTTCCATATTGTACATTTAAAAAAATTAGAATAAATAAACATTTGAATAAAGAAAAAACTACCATATAATATAAAGATGTAAATAAAGACAAAGAAGTGATGAAATGATCTGTCTTTTATACCTTTAATTTATTAATAACTATCTTATTCCATATTCAAGTGGTTTCATTATATTTGGAAAATCCTGGGTGGATGAAAACATTGTAAAATATACTGTGTGCTGTCCTTGCTTTTTATTGAGCTATGAAAAGTTGAGGCCATAAAAGGAAATACAAGATTCTACCTGCCTTGGGAACCAGCAGTTAGCGTAATGGCTATGTCACTGGACTCCCACGTAGTCGACCGCGGTTCGTGTCCCAGACCCGGTGGCTTAAAACTCACGCCGGGTGCGTGTGCATGCGTGCCCAAGATCCCGAGAGGAGAATGGAGGAGAAGGGATTGCGGCGTGACCATCCCCCCTGGGGGGTGATTTCTCGCTTTCTGTCTCTATGTCTCTCTCTGTCTGTCTGGCGAGCGCACACGCCCTACAGTGAAAATCTCTCCAAAAAAAAAAAAAAGAGAAAAAAAAAAAAAAGATTCTACCTGCCTTACCTCTATTCTCTAGGGCTCACTTTCATTTTGAGTAGTTATCTGTTGGATGTTTAGTTTGAATTGTTACTTGGAATATACCCCCTATATATGTATTGTTAATCCTTTCCCGTCATTCTTTCTCTGCCCTTGCCAGCATTACTTAGAGCCTCCACTGAAACTGAGTGAAGCTCTAGAAAGATACGGACTGAAAACTGAAGACTTTTTTGTCTTGAAGCATGGAGAATCAAGATACCTAAATTCTGATGATGAAAACTTTGAATAAATACAAGCACAGAAATTTTTAGTGAAAAAATGCATCAATCTCATATAAATTTGAAAACAAATGAAAAGACTAAGAAATTCATGAATACTATGATTTTTTTTGATATTTAGAAACAACTTCTGCAAGTGTGTTTTATGTAATAACTTGCCTATTAATATGATTGCCAGATCATACAAGTTATAAGAGGATTTCAGGGGTGTGTCATTTAAATAATTAATTGGCTTTTATGGATTTTAAATCTTGAGTAATGGTATAACCATTGCAATGGGAAATGCTTTTTTTTTTTTTTTTCAACTAAAGTTCTATAGTGGTAGAATTTTCAGAGGTTGTGAAAAACTGATATTAAAGATTCATTTATGTTTTTTTGTTCTTCAGGACTTTCTACAAGGTGAGTGAAGGTTGTCTACCTACCTAGATTTTTTTCAGAGGCCTACACATACAAATATCTTTGTATATTCACATTGTAGTAAATGATGAAATTGACTCCCATATACTTATAATAGTTCTTGCTCTGTCAAGATTAATTTATATGCCAAATGTTAAAAATGTGATTTCTTTTGTAAAGCATAAAAACATAGAGTTTGCACTAAGTTAATCATTTTTGAAGACTTTTTTTTATTAAGATAAAATGTATATAGCATAAAATTTACCATTTTAAACATTTTTTAAACTTGCCAGAGTGCATACATAATGTGTACTCTGGGTGTAGGCGGGGTGAGAGAGGATACCCCCACTCCCCCCACCCCACATGGGTGGGTATGGTCACACTGCAGTACTCTTCCTTTTCTCTCTCCCATCAGGAATGTATGCATGCCGTGTTTTTTTCCAAGCTACCTAGGGCCAGGACTCAACCACAGTTGGCTGTGTGGGATCTCGCTCCCAAGGCCTAACACTTAACCACTGTGGTAATGGGGTCAGCCCACTGTTTTAACCATTTTGAAGTGTACAGTGTTTTGGCATTCATGCAGCTGTGACTGCCAAGACTGCCATAGACTTAAATGTTTAAGGATGTGGGGGGGAACCAGTATATTCTGTTGCATGTCTGCAATCTCCAAATCAAAAGACAACAGTATGGTTATGAGAACATGATTTATGAATTTTTTTGTATTTGATCTACAAGGCAGACTTTCTGCTAAGCTATAATGAAATATTTTACAGAGATTAATTCAGATCTTAAATACTAAGAGGCCATAGGCTTTAGATTAAATTTGATTTTCTCTACTTTTTATTTCTTTACATCACTCATTTTTTTTCCTGGTCTCTTAGCTCTTTCGATAAGATATATTTTATAAATATTTTGTGGCTTACATGAATCAGGTATCACCTTATATTTTTATATTGGTTGGCCCCTTACCATTAGTCTATCTTTTATTAAGCCAGTGTGGAATACTAGTGGTTTATTTTTAAAAAAAAAAAGAAAAAGGAAAAAAAAAGGTCAATCTGGGAGTCAGCTGACCTGAGAGTTAGTCCTAATAAGGGCTCTGTATTCAGATTACTGTGAACTTCCTAAGTGATGGAGCTGGAGTAGATGCTGCTAGAGGCCCATTCTGTGTTCCTCTCTCGTAATCTTATCGAAACAGGCTTTATTCATATAAAATAATCAAACTAAGTATTAAACCAAATGGTACACAGGCAGTGCTCTGTAATTTATTTGCACATATATATATGCATGCAATGTTTTTGCCACTAAATTTGAATTCTAATCATGCTTTTATTATGGATGTTCTGTATAACTTGAAAGGAGTCACCCATGTTCCCTGTGCCTCAGTTTCCTCATGGGCAACAAGAGGATAATTTTGACCTACCTCTGAAAAAGACATAGAATAAATAAGGAGTTTAAAAAAATACTTTGGAGATATAAGGGACAAAATGATTTCTTAAGATATCACTGCCTAATAATATAGATAGGTACATTTGAAAACTGGCTAATGGTTTTGATAATGTCCATTTCTGTTGGAGATTTAAGCAAGCTCATACATGTTAGGACACTAAACACTGAAGACTTAATAACTTTTTCTCACTCATTTTGTAAATTTGGACAGTAATAGCCAAAATAAATGTAAATGATCTTTACTGAAATTTAGTATTTTTATCTACAAAAATGCAACTCAGCCAAGGGGAAATATGTATGCAGTGTATGTATATAATGTATGTGAACGGATATGATTTAGAGGCACTAAAGCACAAAAAATTTCCTTGTAAGATTAATCTTTCAGGCAGACACTCAACAAACATAAAGTTTTTCACTCAAAACAGACATGAACTAAGATGTTAAGTTCGTGCTAGTTACCTTCAGGGTATGTTACCCTGATATTAGCAATCGTTCTTGAAGCCACCGTCCTTGCTGTTGCACACTTGATCCAAAGTTCACCTCTTACCTCTAATTTATGAGCAAGCCAGATACATCTTGCTTACATATTTCTTCTCCATGAATGGCCTTTATTATTTTTGTATGCATGTGTACTACTTAACAGAGGGTCTCTAAGCACTTTAAATCGTTGTGTTCTAGTTCCAGTTCATTGGACCTGCCTCGTTTTTCTTAGCGTCCTCACAAGCTGTAATATTTTTAGATTACCATTCATGTTCTTTCCACATTGACATTTTATTAAGAAGTACCTCGAGCTTTCTCAGAGAATCTCACCCTATTGAGTGGTTTCTGTTTTATTTTTCACTTGTTATCTACGTGTTGAAGAATTTATGTGCAAAGTGAAAAATAATTTTTGAAAAATAAGACCAATCTATCCCTCAATTCCATTTAATATGCATTATAATAGCTTTTAATCGATCTTACCCTCTAATTCCATTTTTCTCCTTAATTATTAGCAAACATCCATACCAATATGTAAAATTTTAGTGAAGTTTCCTGTGGTAATTGAAGAATACTTCACTATGCCTCACTGTGCAATGGCAGAGGTCATCAGTTAGGAGAAATTCCTCTTAATAAACCCAAGTTGTGCCAAGACCTTCACAGATGAAGATCTTTTTGTGCATTTTCACTATATAATTCTTCCTGAGTAATTAAAAATCAGTCCCCTTTTTCTTTAGCATTTTGACTCACTGATGCTCTGATCTAATAGAGTGTGATTATTTATCCAAACTAATGATAGAAGAGACAGTTTTAGAGTCTACTGCAGCTACTTTCAGCACACAAACAAACCGTGGTTCTTAATGTATGCACATTTTGAATAGGTACTTTCATTAGACAGGGAGGCAGATAAAAAATGTTATAAAGAAATGTGCCTTTTGGGGAATTAATACTTATGTTCATGTCACCAATTATTACTCTAGCCTATTGAGAATTTCCATTTTTCACCTTCTCCTGAACCTTTTTTCTACTGTAAAAATATTTCTTTAAAGTTTGATTTCTGTATTGGAATAGTCTTAAGAATACACATTTTTCTGTTTGAGGATTTATGACTTATGGAAACAGTCTTCTATCCATATATTTACAAAATGAAAATTAGGATATTTGTAAAGCTTGCCTTAAATACACAAGCTCCAGCTTGTGTATTGATTTACTTACTGTTAAGCACGGCAGGGGTTATGAACTTGAATATTATAAAACCTAGCCAAATTTCAGATATATCAGTAGACTGTTATAGCAGCTTAAGAAATAAAATATTAAAATAGATAACAGAAATTTTCACATATTGTAATTTTAGTCAAATAATATATGGATGAAAATTAGTGAATAAAGTATTATCAAGGGGAGAAAACAATGTTGTGAATTTTTTTCCTCTTTATTTAAAAAATTATACAATTTAGGGTCATAGTAAAAAATCCAGAGAGGTATACATAGAACAGTCATTTTTCCACTTCTCATTCTATTCCCAGGAATTTAAGTATCATTTTAGAAGTACTCTGTCAATAATAAGCATAAATATTTTTCATTAGACTATGCATAGATAGGATCACATTATATTCATATAAATATACATATAAAACGTGTTTTAAATGATCAGGTATATTTCCACATCAGTACATTTATTTTAAAAAATTATTTAATTTTATTTATTATTATTTTAAATTTGCTATAGGGCACCAGAGAGATACAGAAAGTGAAAAAGAAAGTGAGAAAGGAAGCCACTAGGTCCAGGACTTGAACCATGGTCGGCCATGTGGGAGTCCAACAGTTTAACCACCATGCCACCTGCCAGCCCCAGCCACATCAGTACATTTAAAACTGCTTCATTCTTTTAAAAAAACTGGAGAGTTGATTTAATCAACTGTTTATGACTGGACATTCTAATTGATTCCAGTATCTTTTATGGGAGTTTTTTTTTTCCTTTTTTTTTTTGTTATAGGGCACGTGTGCTTGCTAGACAGAGACAGAGAGACAGAAAGCGAGAAATCACCCCCCAGGGGGGGATGGCCATGCCACAATCCCTTCTCCATTCTCCTCTTGGGATCTTGGGCATGCACGCACACACGAGCGTGAGTTTAAGCCACTGGGTCCAGGACGCAAACCGCGGTCGACTACGTGGGAGTCCAGCAACATAGCCATTATGCTAACTGATTCCAGTATATACATAACATCTTTACTTGCTGGAATAGTAAATAGATGAGTACAAGGAGTACATTTTTCACTGACCAGAAATGAAGAAGTAGATTTCTAATGATTATACAGACTTCTGAAAGCAGTCTGGCCGGGTTGGCAGGTAGACAGAGTTCAAGATCTCATCAGAACAAAAAGAAAGTACAAGGAGTACATTTTTCACTGACCAGAAATGAAGAAGTAGATTTCTAATGATTATACAGACTTCTGAAAGCAGTCTGGCCGGGCTGGCAGGTAGACTGAGAGTTCAAGATCTCATCAGAGCAAAAAGAACAAGGCCATTCCTATGGCAGTTCTGAAATAATGATTTAATCACTAATGCTGTTTCAGGAGTAACCATAAATCAAACAGTAACAGTGGCGTAAATGTAAAAAGGCCACTGCTGCTTCATATAGAGGAAATAATGTATCTGAGTAAATGAAAAGAAAGAAATTATTTCAGTTGAAACTCATATTCATTGGTATCAATGTAACAGACCAAAGTAAACCTAAAGACCATGTCAAGTGATAGCTGTGTTAGTGATGAAAACGAATCCCTTTAGAAGGAAGACAGAAAATGGTTAAGTTTAGGTATGTTACTTCCAGACTGTATTCCTCTGGGAGAAAAATGGTCAACCAATCAGAATTTCAGTATTACTGCTGCAGCCTTTTCCTTTACTTCCACATCATGATGATAAATTAAAGCTCGTATTTTCTGGGCACATTCTTCTCCATATAAAAGGAAAAACAATGAACCTTTAGTGAAAGTAGGCTGAATAGCAATACGGCCTTCCATTTTAAGGCAGTTATTTATATTCTGAAATAAAGTAAGTGCTCGAAGAAGAATCTCCTTTGCTGTGTGGCCATCGTAAAGGGAAAGGAATGATGAATCCACCTGAAATAGAGTTAATTTTATTAATATATATTTTCATACTTTAAAATTCCAGTGTATATTTTACTTTCTAAAAATCTTGTCAAAGAAAATTAACCTTAAGATCACAGTACTTTAAATGTGTAAAATCTCTTGTACCCTATATTGTATACCAATGGAAAAAAGAGGCTTTGTGTTTCAGCTGAAAAATACCACTTCCTTGGAATCTCAGAAGGTAGTCATTTTGAAAAACATCTCATTTTTAAGATCCATCATACGGTTCTCGTGGGAAGTTATTAACTTACCAAACATTTACGGCCCACACACACTGCAGGGCACGGGGCTAGGGAACAGGGATGAGCGAATGACAACAGTCCCTTTCCTACAGGATTGAGCTCCATTCCATATAGCACCACATCTGCTTCCTTTAACACTTACTACAGCCTTCAATGATCTTGGTTATCTCATTACATATTTTTGTCTCTGCCCTAAGCTGTCAGCTCCACAGGGATAAGTACTGTGTCATGCTGTACTCACTGGTGTGTTGCTACAACTCAGTCCAGCATCTAGCAAGTACATGAAACTCTGTGGGTACTACTATTCTGATGGACAGTAGAATACATATGAAAAAAAGTGGGCCAAATGTGATGGCATATGTGTACCTGAAATTGGATAGAGAGAAAAACTTCAATGTTGCTAGGGAGAATTTATTTTCTTTTTGGAGAGGTTTTTGCTATAGGGCACATGCACTTGCCAGAAGGACAGAGAGACAGAGAGACAGAAAGCGAGAAATCATCCCCCAGGGGGGATGGCTACACCGCAATCTCTTCTCTTCCATTCTCCTCTTGAGATCCTGGACACACACACATACGCACCTGATGTTCGGTTTAAGCCACCGGGTCCAGGACTCGAACCGCGGTCGACTACATGGGAGTCCAGCGACATAGCCATTATGCCAACTGCTGGTCCCAACTAGGGAGAATTTTAAAAATGGTTTTCAAAAGTATGAAATGCTTATTACAAGAAAGTTAGGAAATCCATATATACTGAAAGAACATAAAGACCACCTTTAAATATTGCTCCTCAGTGATAGCCCTTTTAACATTTTAGGACAAATCTTCCCAGATCTGTCTGTCCAATTCTATTTATGTGAGTTTTTACAAAGTAAATATGTAAACTATGCATACGTACTTCAGCACCGAGTAGTTCTTCTGTCATGGCTGGATTTTCAGACAAATTCACAAGCAGTTTCAAAACTTGAACCTGAAAAATGAAGAATACTGTTTGAAGAACAGCAAGCATGAACTTTCTCTCCTGGCATGCGGTTCTCTTACCATGTCCTCCTTTTAAAGTTCTGCCTGTGCTTCATGGCTTGGTTCAAATCCACTCTATTCCAAGAAGCCTTTTCAATTCATCCTACTTAAAAGATCTCTCTCTCTCTCTCTCTGTCTCTGGCTTTCTCTGGTCTTTTACAAGACTTGGCATCACTTACTACAGGGTAGTGTTATTTAAATTTTATTTTTCCAATTACAGTATACTCCTAGGGGGATAAGAAGAATAATGTGAATGTCCTCATAGTCCTCCCCCCATTCTCCCATACCATAACATGTGGTAAGTTTAACATCTTTCAAATAAATGATCTTTATGATGATTACTGGTAAGTGAAATATCTTTGGAACAACAATATCTCTCAAAGCTCAGTTCATTTATACTTAAAAATATGAAAAATTTATAACAAGCCTAAAATTGTATTTTGGCCCTTTTCTTTTTAGTACTTTTTTTTTTTTTTCTTTTTTGGAAAGGGCACGTGCACTCGCCAGAAAGACAGAGACAGACAGAAAGCCAGAAATCACCCCCCAGGGGAGATGGCCACGCCACAATCCTTTTTCCTCCATTCTCTTCTTGGGATCTTCGGCACGCACACACATGCGCCCGGTGTGAGTTTAAGCCACCGGGTCCCGGACTCAAACCACGGTCGACTATGTGGGAGTCCAGCGACATAGCTATTACACTAACTGCTGGTCCCTTCTTTTTAGTGCATTATTATGAATCTTTGAAGTTACCTTTTTAAAAAATGGTTTTTGAAATAACATATAATAATTATACTATATTACTAGTGCCGTGATTAGCACCTCTACTATATTGGGTCACTGGGAAAGTCATGATGCATTTTTGTGTAGAAAACCAGAAAAATACATCATGACTTTCCCAACTACCTAATATATATATATGAGAGGAGATACAATGTGATTTTTCAGTGCACAAATACATGTGTAATGAATGAATCAGGTAACTGGCATACCCATCATCTTAGACATTGCCATTACTTGTGTCAAAATCTTACCTTTCAGTTATTTAGAGATACAAATTGTTGCCACTAATAGTCTCCACACCATATTTTATAACACTAAAATCTGTTCTTTGTATCTGTCTGCAATTTTGTTTCTGTTAACCAACATCTATTCCACCCACACTATCTTTCCCAGCCTTTAGTGGTAGTGAGTCATCCTTCATCCCTTTACTTCAGTGAGGCCATTTTTTCACTTTCTGCAGGAAAACGTTTAGTAAAAGTTATCTTTGTGTGTGTGTGAAAAATGTTTATAATTATTTATGTAGGCAGAGTAATTATAAATAAGCTAATATATTATTCAATAGCTGACTATCAGTATTATCCTTATAACTGAAAAGTTAGTAGTCACATCTAAACAGAATTCTCCTTTTAAAAACAAAGGCTGTGTAAAACCATACCTTTCACAAGATCCTTGAAATGAAAGTGAGAAACTGAAGTTAAGAAAAAAGGACAAATGTGCTCTCTGCTAGACCTGGTGAGGGTCTCAGGTGTTTGGGCACTTTAAAAAAAATGTATTACAAAGGCAATAATTAATTACTACATAATTTTTTTAATATAAAAAATCATGAAAAAAGAAAATTCACTTGTATTTCTGTGGTCAGAAATGATCACTAAGTTTTGATATTTTCTTTCTGGTTTTTATACGCATATTGTGTATATTCTCAATTCCTTGATCACACTGTATATACCAATTTTGTTATTACAGAAGAGGATATAAGGATTTTGCTCAATTTTATCAACTTTTAAAATAATTTCTTATTATTTCTATTTGACCAGAGAGAGACAGAGAGTGGGGCAAAGTAAGAAAGTAAACTGCCAGATCAGGGACTCAAACTGTGGTCAGCCATGTGGGAGTCCAGCACCTTAACCACCACATACCTGCCAGTCCCTATTTTATCATCTTGTAAACATTTTTATAAGATTAATACATGGTCATGATAAAATCCCAAACTCTACAGAAGGAAACAGTAAATACAAAGCTACCATGCTACCTGTTCATCCTTCTACCCAGTAGTAACCACCAGTAACGTTTGTATATGCCAAGACCCTGTTTTTCAGACATTTAGTAAATTATAGCTTTCTGAGGTGAGGGAATAGAGGAGACGTCTGAGCCTTCGCTAATGCACTCCCTGGAAGTCACTGTCATCTCATCTGGCCTGACTGGCTGTTGGCAACATCAAGCATAAGTGTTAGGACAAAACACCTGGCTCCAACATCAGTGAAGTTTCAATTAGGGAAACAAGAATAAGAGTTAGATGTAGGATGTTCCTGAACCTATGAAATAAACCTGAATGAAGTCAATAAAATCTAGGAAGGTCCACTAGTAGTCAATGAGGACAAGCAGGCAGCCAGGGAATAGCAACAGCAATAGCTATTTGGTACCCTGTGCTAAAATGTGGTGGTGTTGTCCTCTGTCAAAAAACAGTTAAACATGAGAAAAAATTAAAAAGTTAGAGGACAGCTACAGATGAAACAAGTTTATGTATTTTGGTTTGAAGCTGTCAACCTGAGAGAAATACTGAGGCAAAATACGTAAAATGAGTTTATTTGGACCAGGATTAGGAATGATCACTTGGGTGCTATTTTTATTTTATTCTTTTTATTATTTTTTTAATTAAATTTCTGAGATTTTTGCTATAGGGAGCATGCACTCACCAGACGGACAGGATACAAAAAATCACCCCCAGGGGTACGGCCATGCCACAATCCCCTCTTCTTTGATTCTCTTCTTGGGATTTTGGGCACGCTTGGATACATGTCCAGTGTTTAGGCTGCTAGGCTAGGTCCAGGACTTGAACTATGATCAACCACATGGGAGTCCAGTAATCTTAACCACTACCTCACCTGCTGGCCCCGAGGAAGTCTCAGGATCTTGGCACACATGCACACGCACCCTATGTGAGTTTTAAGTTGCCAGGTCCAGTACTCAACTGCAGTCGACTATGTGGGAGTCCAGCAACATAACCATTATGCCATCTGCTGGTCCCCAGGACATTTATTTTAATCTATTAAGTTTTATTTGCTCTTATTGCCAATGTAACAAGCACGGAGTTTATTTACATAGTACTAATCTTCCACTATTTAATTTTATAAATCAGTGGTGGACCCAAAAGGTTATTATAATACAGTGAGATCACTCTCTTATATAAAATAAGATTTTTTTCAAAAGCCATTTTGGAGCCTGGCAGGTAGTATGGTGGTAAAGGTGCTAGACTCCCACATGGCTGATCATGGTTCGAGTCTAGACCTGGTGCTTGCTTTCTCACTCTCCTTCCCTCTCTCTCTCTGGTTAAATTGAATAATAATAACAACAATAATAAAATTAAATTCGAGTCCTGACCCAACAGCTTGCTTTCTCACCTCTCCTCTCTCTGGTCAAATTTAATAATAATAATAATAAAAATAAATTAAAAAATTATTTTTTTTAAAAAAGGCCATTTTGGTAGTTTACCAAGAAAATAATTTAAATTGAGTATTTTTTTCCTCTAAAAATAGGATGACTGTCCAAAAGTTTATTTGTAAGTTGGAACTTTAAACTCAATTTTTTCTTTCTTTTTAGAATTATTTTATCTTTATTGATTTATTGACTTATTTTAAGTTGACCAGAGATGGAGGGAGGGAAGAAGGGAGAGAGGGAGGGAGGAGAGGAAGAAGAGAGAGAGGGAGAGAGAGGAGAGAGTGAGAGTGAGCAAGAGAGAGTGAGAAAGTGAGAAAGCAAGCTGCCAGGTCTGGAACTTGAACCACAGTCAGCCATGTGGGAGCCCAGCACCCTTAACCACCACACCACCTGCCTGCCCCTAAATTCAATTTTTTATGGAGAAACAATGTTCTAATTGGTGGCTAGGTTTCCAGGGAGACCAGAAAAGCAAATTTTCTATCCCAGAAATATTGTACTGGGCAATGTAATGGAAAAACAGAGCACAATAAAATGAAACAAAAATAGAACCTAACTATTATGGTGTGAGCCACGTTTTAAGAACTTATTAAATAAGGGATTAGCAGTTGGTATAATGGCTGTCACTGGACTCCCATGTAGTCAACCACAGTTCGAGTCTTGAACCTAGTGTCTTAAACTCATGCCAGGCATATCTGTGTGCATGCCCAAGATCCCAAGAGGACAATGGAGCAGAAGGGACTGCAGCATGGCCATCCCCCTGGGGGGTGATTTGTCGCTTTCTGTCTCTCTCTCTCTCTTTCTGGCGAGTGCATGCGCCCTATAGCAAAAACCTCTAAAAAAATAAAGTTATAAAATATATTAAAACCTAGATGATATCTGAGACATATATATACATATATATATATACGTCTGAGCCTTCGCTAATGCACTCCCGGGAAGTCACTGTCATCTCATCTGGCCTGACTGGCTGTTGGCAACATCAAGCATAAGTGTTAGGACAAAACACCTGGCTCCAACATCAGTGAAGTTTCAATTAGGGAAACAAGAATAAGAGTTAGATGTAGGATGTTCCTGAACCTATGAAATAAACCTGAATGAAGTCAATAAAATCTAGGAAGGTCCACTAGTAGTCAATGAGGACAAGCAGGCAGCCAGGGAATAGCAACAGCAATAGCTATTTGGTACCCTGTGCTAAAATGTGGTGGTGTTGTCCTCTGTCAAAAAACAGTTAAACATGAGAAAAAATTAAAAAGTTAGAGGACAGCTACAGATGAAACAAGTTTATGTATTTTGGTTTGAAGCTGTCAACCTGAGAGAAATACTGAGGCAAAATACGTAAAATGAGTTTATTTGGACCAGGATTAGGAATGATCACTTGGGTGCTATTTTTATTTTATTCTTTTTATTATTTTTTTAATTAAATTTCTGAGATTTTTGCTATAGGGAGCATGCACTCACCAGACAGACAGGAAGCAAAAAATCACCCCCAGGGGTACGGCCATGCCACAATCCCCTCTTCTTTGATTCTCTTCTTGGGATTTTGGGCACGCTTGGATACATGTCCAGTGTTTAGGCTGCTAGGCTAGGTCCAGGACTTGAACTATGATCAACCACATGGGAGTCCAGTAATCTTAACCACTACCTCACCTGCTGGCCCCGAGGAAGTCTCAGGATCTTGGCACACATGCACACGCACCCTATGTGAGTTTTAAGTTGCCAGGTCCAGTACTCAACTGCAGTCGACTATGTGGGAGTCCAGCAACATAACCATTATGCCATCTGCTGGTCCCCAGGACATTTATTTTAATCTATTAAGTTTTATTTGCTCTTATTGCCAATGTAACAAGCACGGAGTTTATTTACATAGTACTAATCTTCCACTATTTAATTTTATAAATCAGTGGTGGACCCAAAAGGTTATTATAATACAGTGAGATCACTCTCTTATATAAAATAAGATTTTTTTCAAAAGCCATTTTGGAGCCTGGCAGGTAGTATGGTGGTAAAGGTGCTAGACTCCCACATGGCTGATCATGGTTCGAGTCTAGACCTGGTGCTTGCTTTCTCACTCTCCTTCCCTCTCTCTCTCTGGTTAAATTGAATAATAATAACAACAATAATAAAATTAAATTCGAGTCCTGACCCAACAGCTTGCTTTCTCACCTCTCCTCTCTCTGGTCAAATTTAATAATAATAATAATAAAAATAAATTAAAAAATTATTTTTTTTAAAAAAGGCCATTTTGGTAGTTTACCAAGAAAATAATTTAAATTGAGTATTTTTTTCCTCTAAAAATAGGATGACTGTCCAAAAGTTTATTTGTAAGTTGGAACTTTAAACTCAATTTTTTCTTTCTTTTTAGAATTATTTTATCTTTATTGATTTATTGACTTATTTTAAGTTGACCAGAGATGGAGGGAGGGAAGAAGGGAGAGAGGGAGGGAGGAGAGGAAGAAGAGAGAGAGGGAGAGAGAGGAGAGAGTGAGAGTGAGCAAGAGAGAGTGAGAAAGTGAGAAAGCAAGCTGCCAGGTCTGGAACTTGAACCACAGTCAGCCATGTGGGAGCCCAGCACCCTTAACCACCACACCACCTGCCTGCCCCTAAATTCAATTTTTTATGGAGAAACAATGTTCTAATTGGTGGCTAGGTTTCCAGGGAGACCAGAAAAGCAAATTTTCTATCCCAGAAATATTGTACTGGGCAATGTAATGGAAAAACAGAGCACAATAAAATGAAACAAAAATAGAACCTAACTATTATGGTGTGAGCCACGTTTTAAGAACTTATTAAATAAGGGATTAGCAGTTGGTATAATGGCTGTCACTGGACTCCCATGTAGTCAACCACAGTTCGAGTCTTGAACCTAGTGTCTTAAACTCATGCCAGGCATATCTGTGTGCATGCCCAAGATCCCAAGAGGACAATGGAGCAGAAGGGACTGCAGCATGGCCATCCCCCTGGGGGGTGATTTGTCGCTTTCTGTCTCTCTCTCTCTCTTTCTGGCGAGTGCATGCGCCCTATAGCAAAAACCTCTAAAAAAATAAAGTTATAAAATATATTAAAACCTTCATGATATCTGAGACATATATATACATATATATATATATCCCCAAAGCCAGACCTGCTAGCTCTAAACTCTGTCTTCCTCCTGAAGTGCTGTGCAAAGTAGCTACAGAGACAGGCATGGGAGGAGTTTTTTCCTGGCACAGCAACACCATTGGGTAAAGAGGGAAGGGGGTCTCAGGGGTCTCAGGGGCTGGAAGTCATCATGTTCTGCTGGATACATGTGCATCCAGCATATGGGCATATGTATGCTGGAAACTGCCTGGGAATGAAGCAATTTGCTAGAAAATTTAACTCTTATACTGAAATGTGAATACATTTAGGTAGATCTTTGACCAGATCTAAATAAGTCTGGCTACTAGAAATGTGAAAAGTCCATAAATAAACACCTTAGGAGCATAAAAAGCAGGACTTCAGTGAGGCTCTCTTGCAATCACATCTTGATAATCTCAGAAATAACAGCAGCTGGGACCAGCAGTTGGCATGGACTCCCGCATAGTCAACCGTGGTTCAAGTCCCAGATCCGGTGGCTGAAACTCACGCTGGGCGTGTGTGCGTGTGTGCCCAAGATCCTGGGAGGAGAATGAAGGAGAAGGGATTGGGGTGTGGCCATCCCTCTGGGGGGTGATTTCTCACTTGCTATCTTTCTGGCAAGCATACATGCCCTATAGCAAAAACCTCACCAAAAAAAAAAAAAAAGAAAGAAAGAAGAAAAAAAGAACTAACAGCAGCAAACTAGGAGTTGTGGAGTATGGGTCTACAGGTGGTCCTTCTAAAATGTTCATGTATTTTTTTTCCTCACTATAACACATTCTATCTAATATGTAAAACCCTGATAAACAAATCAACTAAACTTATTAAAACTTTCGATTAGAAGATAACAATGATATTTTGATTAGTTTACAATCTATTTTTTTTCTCTTTTCTTTAAAATAGCAATTGATAAGAACACACACAAATATACTTAAGAAATTTTCAATGGGGCTAGTAGATGGGATGGTGGTTAAGGTGCTGGATTCCCACATGGCCAACAACTGTTCAAATCCTGGACCTAGTGGCTTGCTTTCTCACTTCCTCTCTCTTTGTATGTCTCTCTCTTATGAGTTTATGTGCCTTGTAGCAAAAGATAACAATAATGATAAATAAAATTATTAATTATTAGATTATCATGAAATAATATATTTCAAAAAAAGAAATTTTCAAAGGGCATTTTCTAAGACCCTACTTAATCAATCTGTTGCTTCCTACATTATATATAACTGTACAGAGTAAAGTACAAAGACATCTTTCAAATAATTCAATTCATTTCATAAACTACAGCTTAAATGTGGCTTTATAGAGTTTCAACAACGAATGATTAAATGAGAGAAATGTTTTGTTAACTCAGAAGCAAGCATACAAATTAACTACCACTATTACTCAAAGATTCCTTTTAATCACAGTGTGCCTACTTCTGGTGGGGGATAGCTAGCTATTTACCTTCCAATTATATTGATTCTCAAAAAACCAAATGAACATCAATCTTTTGTTAAGTGAAATAACAGATGTTTTTAACAAGTTAATTTTTTTAACAAGTTAATTTTGCAATTCAGCATTAGGAGATAACAATGATAATACTTTCTTGGACCCCATGAGGGTTTTTACTAAACCTTGACTATACTCTTTTTTATTTTTTGAGAGGTTTTGCTATAGGGTGCGTGCGCTCACCAGAGAGACAGAGAGGGACAGAGAGACAGAAAGCAAGAAATCAACCCCTGGGGGGATGGCCATGCCACAATCCCTTCTCCTCCATTCTCCTCTTGGGATCTTGGGCACGCACGCACACGCGCCCGGCATGAGGTTTAAGCCACCGGGTCCAGGATGTGAACCGCGGTCGACTACATGGGAGTCCAGCGACACAGCCATTACGCTAACTGCTGGTCCCTATACTTTCTCTTTTTGAGAGACATCAACTTGATAAGTAACTTGGAAATTCATTTTCAATCTCACTAAAATTCATGTAGTAGCTCTTCATGATCCAAGTGATGATCACTTCATACCTTGGTGTTTCCATTTCCTGTAAGCAACACACGGAACAGGTCTGCAACGTAGCTGTTCAGCATGTGTTGGTGGTCATTGGTAACAGTCATGTTGGTTAACAATCTCAGTCCAGCCAGCTGCACAGCAGAGTTCAGGGGACCAGAAAAGACATCTTCACAAACTTGATTGATGTATGTCTGAAGGCAGGAGAAAAAACAAGTATCTTAGAATCTCTAAAATTCTTCTATTGTACAGTTAACTTTTCTTCTTAGCAGAGTAGAATGGAACTGGCTCCTCAGAAAACATGGTATTTCTATTTGGCCCTCAAACTTTGGTGACTTTTTTTAAAAAGCTGGCTTTGATAATGCCAAGCACTGTGCTGATCATTTTGCCTCACTTAATCCTAAAGACAACTTTAAGAAGGTGGGTGCTATTATGGCCATCTTACAGACAAACGTTTTAAAGTAGTCAAGAAGTTTACTCCTCTTCCCCACATCAGCCAGTAAGAGGGAGGTAACGTCCAAGTCCAGAGATCATTCTCTCAATACCAGAGGCCTTTTTTATACTGGAGACCTCCCAACTCAGCCCACCTTTCCATTTCAAGTAGTCTCAGCACACCAGAATTAGGGAAGAAAATGTGGAAGGCCATTTTGTATCATTATAAATACCTTGGCAGTAGGGTCTAAAGAGCTACATCATGTCAGAAGTAAAGAATGAGGCAGCGGGGACAAAGTAAAACAGAATTTTCCTTTTAAGTTAATTAACTATTTAATCAAAAATTTTTTTTCTTTTTTCGAAGAGGTTTTTGTTATAGTGCACATGCGCTTGCTGGAAAGACAGAGAGCGACAGAGAGAAAGAAATTGAGAAATCAGCCCCCAGAGGGGATGGCCGCACCACAATCCCTTCTCCTCCATTCTCCACTCGGGATCTTGAGCACGCACGCACACTCGCCCAGCGTGAGTTTAAGTCGCCGGGTCCAGGACTCAAACTAAGGTCAACTACAAGGGAGTCCAGCGACATAGCCATTATGCTAACTGCTGGTCCCATAATCAAATTATTGATTAAATGAGTAATTATTTAATTATTAAATCAATTATTTACTTTTTCTTTAATCTATTACAAGTAAGCAGAGCAAAATTGTATTTGACCCCAGGTTTCTCTTATTTACAGGTATATGTATATAATCTATCTCTTTACAATATAGTAGCCTCCACAGACAAAAAGGAACCCAACACCGAGAGCACTCATTTCAGACAGGCGAGAACTAAACACAGTATGATGGAAAGGTTTCTAAACTCTACTTCTGTGACTGGCCATTTTATAGTTGGAAAAATTATGTTTTGTAGGTAACTGGTATTCACCTAACTAAATCTGAACCCCCAAAAAAGTTCTAACTGGTAAGAAATTTTTTTCTAATGTGAAGTTGTTTCATAAACCATTATTAAAAATTTTTTTTTTAGAGAGGTTTTTGCTATAGGGCACGTGCACTTGCCAGAGAGAGAGATACAGAGACAGAAAGTGAGAAATCACCCCCCAGGGTGGATGACCACACCACAATCCCTTCTCCTCCATTCTCCTCTCAGGATCTTGGGCACGCACGCACACGCGCCCAGTGTGAGTTTAAGCCACTGGGTCCGGGACTCGAACCGTGGTCAACTACATGGGAGTCCAGCGACACAGCCATTACGCTAACTGTTGGTCCGGTCCCATCCATTATTTTTTTTTAAATCCCCAAACTTTTAATCTGGCTTAAAGATCTAAATTATTGACACATTTACAAGTAATAGAAATCATGATGATTACCCTTTGGCCACAATTTCGTAACACACCCATTCTTTTAAAAAATGCATTTCTTTAGCTCTTTATAAAACATGTACTTTTGTAAGATGATGTCGGTATTTCCTACAGTACACTGAACATTTATGTCCATATTATATCTGAATCTTTTCACCATTTTAAATCTATTAACAAGATTACCAAATGGCCAGCTCAATTATTCCTAGAGCTATGCCCACCTTTCTCTTTTCATTTATAAAAAACCTTTTACATTTGTGATTTTAGACAACTTACCTTTATTTTTATTTGATTCTCAACATTCACACTCAGGTTATTCAGTGCATTTAGAGCTTTCTCTTTAATGCTGTAGTTAAGACTGTTGATTTTGCTTCCAACAATTGGAATACCACCCAATTCACGAATAATAGCCTAACAGGGAAAATAAACAGGACCATGACTTCAGTATGCGCCCCCTTCACTGAATTATTTGCACTCACAAACACAATTAAAAAATCAATGACTTTTTTGGAAATACCTTTCTCATTATAAATTGACAATTCTTATCTTTAAAAAAATCTTAATATCTCTAATTTTATAGGTTAAAATTATTTATATCATTATTTAAACTGTAGCATGGACATATATAATAAAGATTTGCAGAGCTGCTATAATGTTTTTTTTTTTTTTTTGGAGAGATTTTCGCTATAGGGTGCGTGCACTCGCCAGACAGACAGAGAGACACAGAGACAGAAAGCGAGAAATCACCCCCCAGGGGGATGGTCACGCCACAATCCCTTCTCCTCCATTTTCCTCTCGGGATCTTGGGCACGCACGCACACGTGCCCAGCGTGAGTTTTAAGCCACTGGGTCCAGGACACGAACCACAGTCGACTACATGGGAGTCCAGCGACATAGCCATTATGCTAACTGCTGGTTTCCCACTATAATGATCTTGAAGCAATTTATAAACAAAATAATTATGAAATGAGTTATATAACTTCTCTGTTACAGGGACACTGGAAAGTGTTATGATTTAGAATATTAAAGTAGTGTTTTGCTAACACATATTCATTGGAATACCAGTCTCTCAAGAATGTTAATAATTAAGGGATTGGGGCTCTATGGTTATATAAGTTTGGAAAATTCTGGTATACCAAGAGTAAGTAGGTTTCTTTTTTGTGGGCATTAATATGTTCATGTGCATTTGGAATATCCAAGTTGGGAGCATTGCCTATAGTATTCCTGTGAACCATATACAAAAAGGTCATTCTTTTCAATTACAAGAGTCAAGGGAACATAATAATATCCTCCACACAGTTTGAAATTTTCAGAGGATCTGAGGATTTTTTTCCACGTAATTACAACAGTATTTTATCATGTGTCTTTGGCCCCAACATTTAAAAAAGTATCAATTGCTTTAATTCTACTAGAAAAATAAGCTGAAAATTACTAATCAGGCTAAATATGCCATTCTATCAGAAATAGAGAAAAAGAGTATCATAATCTACTTATTACAAATAGCTCAATATTTGACCTATTAAGGGTGGCTTAGCATGGAAGAAAAAAAGACGCTCCCTCTGCAATTCCAATGTTCTTTTGAAGGACTTATAGTTACTAGAAAAGAGTTTGTTTTTGTTGTTTTATTTCTGTTTACTATACTGTTAAAGTTGATAAAGGCATGACAAATGACAGTGAGGAGCACCGGCTCCCATTGCTCAAGAAAGTACTTGTTCAAGACAGGTTATTGGCCCCTCTGACTACAACTAGTTTTAGAGGGAAATAAAACTATGGTATCAGAAATACTCCGACACAGGCAGGCCAACAAATTAGTTACCACATATGAATATTGTTTTTATTTGTCTAGTGCCCCTTTTCACATGAGGGCAGACCTGGCTCTTCCTCTATCCCACACAGTCCCTGGAGGACCTACTGGTCAACTGTGATCACATCAATCCCTACTACTTGGCTGTAGGACAGGTATGTGAGCCAGGCCTCATGAATCATGGTCCATGGTCCCTTCCCAGAAACTGATCCAAAGTGCTGGCAATTGATCCTAGCAGGAGAACTCTGCCTTTGGGATCATTAACTACACTGTTTAAGGCTTGTGAGGCCAGTGGCTTTCTTTCTATTCTTGTGGGAAAAACAAGCAAACAAACACAGCAACAAAATCTCTTTGAAACCACAAAATTCAATACATAAAGTAATCACAAGCAAAGCCAAAAGGTAAGGAAATAGAGAGCTCAGCTCTTTCTGTGATCTTGAACAGTATTCAAATGTGCCTGAAATTCAAGCTATTCTTAGATGTCCAAGTTAGCTAAGTGTAACAGTTCCCCTTTATGGCTTAAAATAATTGAAGTTAAATTCTGTCACTTGTAACTGAGAGAGTACAAAGATTCTCTACATCTTCCTTTAGAGCTTTACAGTAAACCTTTCCAATCTAGAGATAAATAGACTAAAATGAAGAAAAAATTCAAAATAATTTTGCATCTGTGGCAATTAACAAAAAGCATTTGCTAAAAAAAAAAAATTACATGTTTTTCCTTTTACTTTCTCCATGGGGAATAGGTGAAGGGATGTCAAGTCTCTACTTGTAGAAAACATTTAAAATGATTAGTGGTTGCCAGAGAATGCTCCAGGGACCACCTGCACCAGAATTATTCTTATACGATCTATATGACATACAACCTAAAATATATATGTAAATGTTAGATGCTTTATTGTTTATTGAATTTTAAATAATTTAAAAGACCAGGCAATGCTAAATGTTGGTTAGATATCTTTATTAAGTATAATGCCAAGGACCAAAGTTCGCAAGGCTCTACAATCATATTCATAACTGTATTAAGTCAGGCAGTGCTTTTTCAAACAGAAACAAACATTATGTTGTAGGTGTAAGAAGTTGCTTTGTACACATGAGCAAAGTGAGGCTCTGAGAGGTTAAGTAACTTATCGAGGGTCATGATTACTGCTGGTGAATAGAAATAGAAGGAGCTTGTTTGCTGAGACAAGGGTACTTACCTGGTTAGCTGAAAATGCTGCACTGTTACCCAATGTGACCAAAGCTCTTTCAATAATTACAGGATCCTCAGTGGTCTCCAGCAGGTAAAGGAGTTTCTGAAGTTGTTCAGTATTAAGGACATCATCACATGAACCATCAGTTAAGTCTTCTATATATAAGAGGAAAGTTATTTAAAGTTCATCTAAAAATCAACAGGAGTATTTTTTGAAATTTTAAAGATAACATTGACTGCATACTTGGATGCCAAGCACAGTATTACGCATTTTACACACTTTATCTCGTTTAATCCTCAAGTAACCCTAGCAAGAAGATACTACTATTCTCAATTTACAGGAGGGAACTGAGGCTGACAGATATCAAGGAATTAGCCAACGGTCACTTAGTATATTAGTAAGATACTGTATGCCAATAATATATAGCCCGAAGGCAGATAGCACTTTCTTCTTTTAAAAAGCAGGTAACCCAGGACCAGCCCTGTAGCACAATATTCTGTGCTGTGCATTGGGAGCCAGATCCTACATTGCTCACCATGATTTAATCCGGCCACAAATCCTGACGGGAAGGAGAAATGAAGGAAAAATTATTGTGGTGTGACTATGAGCCATTGGGGAGGGCTGGCTCTGGCACGCATTCTCTCTCTCTCTCCTCTAACAAAAAACCTATTTTAATTAAAAAAAAAAAAAATCAAGAACAACCATCCAATCAACATTTGCCTAGAGGTCAAGGTTAATTAAGAAATAGGATTTATATTACATAGAACTGTTTTAGTTGCAAAATTAAGAGCACATCACATAGGAAAAAACTATAGGAGTAACGCAATTATACAACTAGGGTAGGAGTAATGCAATTATACAGCGGGGGTGGCATTTTGTTTGGTTTATAGGAACAAGGTATGAAGACTGGGGTGCTAGAAAACCAGTTCTGCTAGTGGTGATGACATATGGAAAGTGTCATTTTGTGCAAAAGCTAAAATAGCCAAGTGCTGGGTCTGCACAATGATTTTTAGAATCTGTAGCTCTACCTAAAACAAAACACAACAAAACAAAACCCGCTCTTTACAGAAATCACTATAGGAGAAAAAGAAACCTTTTATGGCACTATTACTGCTCTGTGTGTGTGTGTGGAGGGGTTTATTCAATGATAGCTGCTAAATGCTGCCACATCTGTGTGTGTTTTTTTTTTTTCCCTTTCTTTTCTTTTTCTATACACATAATTGTTAAATATTTGGGGGCCAGCAGGTAGCATAGTGGTTGTGGTCCTGGACTCCCACATGGCCAACTACAGTTTGAAT